CAAACCAACAAACAAAGTGGGCGTCTGGCGAACGCCCACTTTTGTCCACCAAATATAACGGTTCGACGACATATGGAAGCAGGGACGAAACTTCGTCCCCACGCAAAATACCATCCCCTAGCCATGCCATCGTCATGCTGCGTTTTCCAAAGCACAGCGGTGGCACAGCCGACGCATTGCTGTTCAGAGGGTAACCCTTGAACAATCTTGCAGTTTGACAAAGGGGGCTTCGTACACCCCCATTTTTCCCTCCCACCTTCGAAAAGGAGTTCGAGGAGTGTGAGTTGTGTCTGGGCATGAGCACGAGGTGGCGGGGGTTGTGTTTGAGCGGGGTGTGTTTTATTTGCGTTTTTTACCCACGTTGCGCAATTTTTGGTCAGCGGGCAGCACAAGGGTCAGTGAGGCTAAAACTTTCGCGCCATTGGGGGGAAGGTGGGGATGGACCTTCCCGATGCGGTTGCGAAATTTCGCCTTTCGAGTGCGCGTAGTTTCTCGTGCGGCATATCGCCCAAACCTCGGAGGAGGGTTCCGCCCCCGTTTCCGGATGCGGTCACAATGCCGATGCCATCTTTTTCTGTTAAAGAAACGATTTGCTGGCGAACAGCACCAATGTGATTGCATCAACATATTTTCTTAGTCATCGATTTACATTCTTGGAGTAGCGTTTCATCAACCATCCATCATGTCTTACGGTGAGTGTCCTTAGTTCAACCCTTCTAACCGGCTTCATAGCAGTAGGACATCCCAGTTTGCATGAGTATTGACTTCGTTATTGTGATCGGTGTTGATTCTTCGTGCAGCCGGCGAAAGCAGCCCCAGCCCGTACGACTACCCTCTCCCAGGTATGGCTTGTCGTGAATCTTGGCATTATGAGAATTTCAGCGGTTTCTCCTGGCTAATCACTGATTTGGTTCTCATATTCGTTATTCTGCTCTCAAAATTCAAGTGGTCCCGCACCACGTGGGGATGTCGTCGTGACTGGCCTTACCGGCGGATTCGGCAGTGAGCAGGGCTCTAGATTTGTTTTTGGCCACCCTTAGTAATCAGGGTTCTAGGTATAGTCAACCCTGATGCGCAAGGTAACTTTTTTGTTTGCCTGAAAATGCAGGGTAAAAAAAATGTTAGTCTGTTTGGCCAGGGTGTTAAAAAAAAAAAGGTATTAATAATGAAAAAATGGTATAGTTCAGCAGTAAGTGGCTCAGTTGATTCGATTACAGATTAAATCCGCCAGGTTGTTGGTTCGAACCTCGCTGTTGGGGAGTATTTTGCAGGGGCCTGAATGGTCGTTTGTCTCGCTACGGTGCTTTTGGTATCATTCTATCTGGGATTGTACAGTGTTACAGTCAGAGAAATATGTTCGTTACGCTGTTTTTCAAAGGGTAAAAAAAACTCACACTTTCTGGCCTAGGGTAAAAAATCCACTACCCTGCCTGTGAAAGGGTAACTGAAAAAAAGCGGCCGCCAGTCAGTGCAAAAAGGGTATTTTACCCTGATAACGAGAGCCGTGGCAGTGAGAAGAAGGGCAAGGGCAAACACTACTACGGCGGCAAGCACCACGGTCACTATGGCCATCACGGTCACCACGGACACCACGGCGGTCACAAGCACAAGGGTGGCCATTACGGTCACCATGGTGGCAAGCATAAGGGGCAACACGGACACTATGGCCGCAAGCACAAGTAACAAGTGTCATATGTAATTATTGTCGATACGTGTGCTCAGTGTTTTGCGATTTGACAAGCAAAGTACGGTAGTGGAAGATTGTGAATGGTTCACTCGCAAAAGTGAACACATCGCACACCCTCCTGCCTCGTCGGCCGCGTTCTTTAGATGCCGATGTGGTACGGTAGCTGTCCTGAGCATCCAGCCGATGCGGTAAATTGGGTAGTCCTGAGCATCCACCGCTAATCCGATTAGAGCGTCATTGGTAGAAGCCAGAGCGTTCCCTCTATTAGTCCAAGTTGCGGTAAATGTTATGCCGTTTCCAATCATCCTTTGATTGAAGACCGATCACAATTGCTTTCGAAAAGCAGTTACCATCTTAGCGGAAATTACAATCGAGCAGATTCTCAGCCAATGAGCCAGTTTCTTATTTTTTTCCATCACACAAGTGTTTGACTAGACAATAAATATGATACACAAAACACAACAAAGGAGCAGAACAACACAGGCAAAGTGAGTGGGGACGGGAAGAGTGTTTGAGAGTGAATAATGAGTGTGGTTGATAAACTTGCTCAGTACTGTAAAGCGACACACAAGAACCCTTCACGGAATCTGAGGGATGCTACACAAACCGACTCTGTGCACCTCGGCCTTGGGATTGACGATGGCATCTCCTCTCGCAATCAATCCTAGGAAGGTCATAAGTCCTCGTTCCAGGCTATGCTGTTCCTCACCAAAGCTTTTAGCTTCAGAAGGGGCGCCAGCAGCAGAGTCTACAATTTAAACTAGTGAAGTTACAGTGCAGTGGCGAGTCACCACTAAGCATACTTGTACCTGGAAATGTAGAGTAAGAAGCTTCGCCTGAGGCACCAGTTGATTCTGTGTTTGCTCTGTTACTGACCAGCCATCATCAAGCCAACATGGGTCCAGCGAGACTCTCCGTCTCAATGATTCTCGTCGTGTTCCTACTCCAAGGATTCGTTTGTGTTCGCTTGTTTTAGCACGCGGCGACGACGAGGGTGAAATCGGGACTGGAGTCGGCCTCAGCGCAACTTCCGTTCCAGGAGGTTCGCGGAATTAGTACGCTTACGTCACGCTGGTGTGCGATGACGTCATGGCGGTGGCAGATACGCCGTACAGGCACGCCTCACGACATTGTACTACTCACCGTGAACGTCTCCATCGCACGCTGGTAGCCCTGGGAGCGAAGATCGAACCACTTTCGGGGCCCGTTCCTAATCCGTTCGCCGTCACAGCTGACAGAGTTGCAATCAACAAGCCGTGCAGGTACGCGCTTGGAGGACCGATTCTGAAACCCCTTGCCTCGCCAGTTTCGCTTGGAGTTTTGTGAGCCCTGCAGTTGCAGAGAGGGAGCCATACATGTGTCCCAACTAAGTTGGGCACTTGAAACACAAGCTATTAATTACTTGCATCTGATGCGCTCAAACACAAAATTGCAGCATGCTTGATATTTAGTCCCAAAATCCACTGCCGCTGCCATTGAGGGTAAGGTGTGAAATGAACTGAGTGGATTGGGCTGAGCCAGCAGCACCATGGATTTCTGTGAGGCAGGCGAATTTGTGAAAGATGCGTTGAATTCAGCTGCCATGCCCGTAGCATTTGCCCTGCAATTTGATTGATACATCGATGTCATCCACATCAACCAGTAAATTGTACGCTTATGGTCAGTAATGTAGTTTACAAAGGGTATGTTATAATGTTCTTGTTCTTGTGCAGTGCACGACAATTTTCTACCGGCAAGCAGTCGAGTAAGAGTAAAAATTCATTGATAAATTCATGAATACAAGGGAGCAACCTATAACTACATCTGTATATTATATACAGGTACTCCATACCCTACTCTTCACCGTTAATAAACTTCCCTGTACCGGGGTTAATAGCCGCGACGAAGAAGAACGCGATGCTGGCCAGCAGCAGTGGCTCCAACTCCCAAATCGGCAGCCCAGTCTCGATGTTCAACTGCGCCAAAGCGCATCTCCTGGTCATCACCTCTCCAATTAAACTCGCCGCAAACCCTAACTGCGCCATACGCCCCACGAACAGCTCATTTGCCTTCGTAAAGCCGAAGAGAGGACCGTCGTCGCTTAGCCCAAGCATGGCCTTGAAGCTGCCCGGCTTCACCGGCGGACCCGCATCGCGAAAAAGGACTTGCAAGTAGGCTGCTGAAAAGTTGCAGAAAAGTAACTCGGCGGATACTTTGGTTTTGCAACTTCGCAGTGATGGACAACAGTTGCAGAAATGCGAGTGACTGCAGAGTTGACAAAAAGTTGCAAAAAAGTTGCAACCCTGCAACTGGATCGCAACTCCCTCGACACAATACTGCAAACATGTGGACACATTTGCGCCACCTTCCGCAAGCATTGCAAACGCAAACAACATGCCGCGCACCTGCAGCCTGTTTGCAGAAACATCACTCCTCGCAAAGCGCGTACCCGGTTACAATGTGGCGCCACCGTGGCACTATGAAACGGTGGCACAGCATGCCCGGTACGGTTGCCTGCCGAAACGTACACCACTCCCTAGTAACCCCACTTCGCCCACCACTGCAGTTGCATCGCCACTGAACACCACCGCATGCGCGACGGGAGCCACTGGAACGGAGGTGCATGCCCGAGCCCTGTGTGCCTGCCCAATAACGCAATTGCCACACCGTAACCCTATCACCTCCACTGTCCCTATGATTGGCTCCAAACACCGTCGCCCGCGAATTTCGCGTCATCGCGGGCCCCCCTCTTCCGCACACTTTCCGCGCCCTGCCCAACCAGCGCCCACTACGAACATTACCGGAATTTGCCACAGCGTTACCACCCCTATGTACACACAATCTGGATCGTAGCACACCCGTGCACCCTCTGCATCCTACGTCCACACGGGCAATAACCCGGGGCTCACGGCGTGAATACCAGCCGTCGATCTCACCGGAGCGCTCTTTACGCCCACCATTGGATGGCGCACTGTAATGCATCCCGCTTGCGCGAAATGTATGCGTTACTGCATTCGTTTTCCCGTTTTGTGGTAGCCATTACTAGGAACAGTTCAAAAATTATGCACTAAAACAACACATACCACACCATATCCAAACACCACAACGTGCCATCCTACAATTACAAACCCATTAATAGCCACACCAACACTACTGAGCAAGCCCAGAGCCACGTCACTTGACGTAAAACCATTAGTTATTGCCCGCCTGCAACGATAACTTTCAAACCCTGTGTGCCTTAACCACCCACTTCTTGGGCAGCTAATCCTCTTCCTCCGCCACAAGTCGGATGCGATTGCAACGCCCTCTCACGACAGCCCCTGCCTCAGCCCGCTTACAGGGAAACTGATGCTCTATCATCAGCCACTGGAGCCCTATGCGCATACCGGCCGGGAACCAGGTGCTCAAGCCCATCCGACGACAGCATCAACCCATGTTCCCCCCACACCCACGCCGCCTCGTCTGCATCGTACGTTGGCTTGAAATCCTGGATCGCTTGAGCCACTGCCGCAGCGGCTACCTCCTGCAGCCCGTTCACCACCTGCGCGTTGCCGCCTGCTGAATTTGACAGACGCCCCTTGCGCTTGTCCCAGTTCAGGATGGTGTCCGTCACCTGCGTGGACCAACAAGCATCTCGGGCACTCGCATGAGCATGTTCAAAATCCCTGAAGTTGCAACTATAAGTGATGCAACTTACCACGTGCTCGAGCCACGCCAACTGGTACAGCTTCACCTTCACTGTCCCTGTGACCTTCTTTGGCCGGAATGCGGTGGCGGCGCACGCGGTGAATGCCCCACCAGCAAAAATCATCCCGGTCTTGCTCTCGCTCCAGGTTGACAGTGTTAGATCCTCTGCACACACCATCCGCCAACGCAACATCAGAACAGCAAAACTCCTGCCGAAGGGATGGCTCCCCGGAGTCCCGACCTCATCGTACCGTTGACGTCGTCCAGAACGCGATAGCGAGTCCGCACCTCCGCGGCCTCCCTGGCCTCCTTGCGTCTCCACGGACTCTTCGCATCCCGCTCGTCGCGCCACAGTCCAATGCGCGGCAGCGCAATGTCTCGTACACGGCCTGCAACCTCCGTCTTCCACTGGCTCAGACTCTTGTTCAAGTCATCGCGTCGCCCTTTGTCTGCCGCCAACGCGACAGCAGCAAACTTCAGCGTCAGCCGTGGCGTGACCCAGCATAACCCCAGTGTCTTGTCGTAGCTGCTGGGGTAGAATGTCATAGCATCATTTCCCCGCTCGATAAACAGGTACTCCCGCACAAAGTAGTGCTTCTGCCAGAGCAACCGCATGAGACAATGGACCCTTACAAACACCATTAGATACAAACGGGGACTCCCCCAAACGACATACGCTAGACACTCAGGTATATAGACAAGACCGCACTGCGCAAACCTCACCTTCCACGCCTTGCCCGCCGGCATGAAGTCAAATGCCTCATGGAGTATGGGAGAGCTCGCCTCTATCATATGGCGCCTCTTGCGCACACGGCGAACCGGCGCGGGCTCCGCTTCCGCCTCCACATCATCCCCCTCCGCGGATGAAGCGTCCTCGGAGCCTGAATCGACCCGCCGGCGCTTGCTCAGAGGCCCTCTCTTCACCGCGCGCCCGCTCCTCCCTCTGACATCTCTGCCTCTTGTTATGCGTCCTGGGATCCTGTGCGGACAGCAGCAACGCCTCCAGGCGCGCAATCCGCCGTTCGCCGTCGTCTCTGGCCGCCTTCAGGGCCTCGAGCTCGGCGCGGCTAATGACGACGTTGTCGTTAGTTGACGTCTCCTCACGCCGAGAACCACTTGCCGGCTGCCCTGACACGCTCGGCATCGCCACGAAAGGGTTGTCCGGCACCGAAGGCCTCGGCGCCTTCGCCGCCGTGTCGTGCGCGGCCGGGTTCTCGTCCGCCATAACCGACGCGACCGCTTTGGAGCGGACAGGAACATCCTCGCCTCCCCCGTCGCTGCCGACATCCTCATCTCCTGCGCCGACGCTTGACGAAACCGCCGCCTGCGGCGTCACTTGCGATGCTCCCTGTGCCGCACTAGCCACCCCTGATCGCGGATGTAACAACGCATACAGCCGCCATGGTTACGACGTCAGCATATCGCATAACAATGACAGAACAATGACATACTCGTGTAGTGAGCAACAAACCCCACACGGTCCCCCCCAGTCCTTGCAAAACCGATACAAAAATTTTACCTGCGACTGGGACACACTTCTGCTTCGTAATCCTCGGACGCTTGAACTGCCCCGCATTCCCGCGCACACATTTCGGCTCACGAGAACGTTTACCAGGTAGATGATACTCGTTGCGGAGATACGCTGGTGTGCGCTTAGGCCGCTGTGAGCGGCCTACTGGCAGTTCTTCCGACGTTCCCAAGGAAGTTTCCATTCCTGAGATGCAAACCGGACCTCCTACGGGATCCGAACACAATTTGACAGAAGTATGCGCATTCCTACAAGAGCCACTTCTAACGCCCTATGCCAGGTCCCGCAATCACGCTAGCCAGTCCCGTTTGTTGCTCCGGATTGCAAGTGACCCCCGGGCCATGTGTGAGCATGTCATTGGATCTCGCGATATCCCTCCACCCTTGGTAGACAAACCCAACAGCCTATCACACGGTTGTGTAGCATCCCGCGTATGCTCGTGGTGTTCGTTATATGCAACAGCCGAACCCAACTAACGTATACAGTGACTTATATCATTGCACTACACAATTACAACTTATTTCACTGCTCTCGACGACACGAATGCACCACAGAATCAGCCCTCTGTCACCCCCTCAGGGTCAACATCAAACATTGCCTCCTCAAAGGCATCCCCCAGCGACACGCCTGTATGTATACCCTGTTCTGCCACTCCGTCCAGTGTATCCGCCTCCTCCTCATTGAGCTCATTCGGCGTTCCCCTCCCAACCTGCGCCTTAGGAACACCCTTCTTCACCCCGCCCATCTCAATCTCCGTATCCACCTCCTTGGCGGCGCCTCCATGCGCATCCGCCGCCTGATCATCCTGTGAATCGGAGTGCGTTTCCCCCTCCCCGCCTGAGTCCTCCTCCGGACAGTCCGCCAGTGCCGTCTCCCACTCTGTCCATCGAAACCACTGTCTGCCCCTAACCAGCCTCTTGACTGCGGACAATGTGCACCCCTTCAGCAGCCCCCTCTCCTCATCCGACAGCTCCACTGTCCCTGACACACGTCGCCCCTCCTTGACCACGTGCACAGCTGCTGCGTACGCAGTGGCTGCCTCCAATTCCTTGTTGTACTTGGGCTTATCCTTCTCCCAGAACAGTATCTTGGCGCTCCACCTCCCCCGTTTCTCTTTCCGCACACCCTTCCATTTGGAGCTCCGACCCTGTCCATTACCCTTGCTTTTGCTAGCGGGGACGGCGCCCTCAGCATCACTCCCGGGCGAAGGAGTGTCGTCTCGTTTCCTCTTTGCCAGCATAGCCAATACCACGGGCTTCGTCCCACCTGGGTGAACGACCGTATGCGCTGCCTCATGCGTGAAGGGCACACACACCGGGGCTGCCTTCTGCGACCACAACGGCTTCGCCGGCACGGGCAGCGGGGACGGGCAGGGATGTACCACCCCTAGGTCGACATTTGTGGTGCCAGCACCACCCTGGCCAACACTCACAGGAGGTTCTCCTTTGGAACCGGGGCTGTCGGGGGCTCCTGGCCGCGCGCCTGCACGTGGGTTGGGCGTGGACGGTGCAGTGGACCCACTGCACCCAGGTGTCGCCGCTTCCCCATCAGAAGCTTGCTGCTGCAGGACGTGGGCAGCTCCAGCAATGAGCTGGTCGACACTGTACCCCATGGCCGCTCCAACAGCTGTGACAGCTGCCTTCCAGATCGTCAAGTCCCGCTTCATACTGTAGTGCTCCACCTGCATCCGTGTTAGCTTCGTGTTGCCATCCTCCGCACCTGAATCGACTACCGCCCCATGCTTCGCGACCCTGGGGGCGGGTTGCCTCGGGACCACCACTCCCAGCCTCGCTAGCGTCGGTATAAGGTCTTCCACCGCATGCATGCATAGGTCCACCCGCATGTCCCGCCGCATCTCCAACGCACTGACGCCCCCCAAGTACAGGTAAGATCGTAGTGTCTTGAAGTCAGTGTCCACCAACACCTTCAGAAATTGGCACACAAAGATGCCACAATCATGCGTGTTGTCCTGCTGCTGCACCTGATGCTTCTGCACGCACGTAACGTACCACGTAAAAGAACACAAAATTAGAGATGTGAAGATGTATGGCATGTGCGTCGACACGGGTTACTAGCAGGAGAAGCACACACCTTCATCGGAATGGGTTTCGCCTCCATCAGATTTGCAACAATCGTGGCTTCATCGCACTCCGGGTGTAAGTCCTTGGCGGTTAGCTCCAGAAACCTGGGACGGCAACAACGAAAAGGGTGAGTTGGGGTTCAGCGTGTGACACGTGAGATACAATCACGAGTCTAGATGTGCAGTCAGTAACTTACAGTTTGACGCGATCAAACACAGATGGGTCGTCACGGTGCGTGCCGTAACTGTCGAGTAAGATCAACTCCAAAGGGCCAGTGGCTTCATCCGTGGTGGCGCGTAGCAGCCGCTTTGGGGACGGCACGACCATAAGCGAGTAGTGCGAACTGCAACGTGGCAAGGGTATGGGGATTGTTAATCGGTTGTGGCAGTAGATGAACACTTGACTTTCGGCTGCACCGCGCCGCTAACCTCTGGTGCTCACCTTTTGAAGATCGGAATGGCCAAGAAGTCCACGTCAAAGATTCGAGAAGAGTTGCCCATAGTGTAAGGCTTCTTGAACGAGTTGCAGTAGTCAAAAGCCTTGCTGTCGACGGCGGCCCATGTTGAGCCGTTGGGCGTCGTGGGGCACCGAATGCTCAGTAGCCTGCACACAGTCCGGTCCACAAACCGTGATGGTGCGGGTACACAACGGGGAACATTAAACCATCGACCGACATGTTCACGTCCTAGTAAACGCTCGGTGTTACACTCACACGTTGTGAAAGTCAACGATGGCGTCGGTGATACATTCACCGTCGGCGATGGTGACGATGTCCGAAGCTTCCACGACACAACCAACGCCGTCCGCGTTGAATAGCGTCAGGTGTTTCATGTTCTCGGGGAGTTTTGCTGTGCGGAGGCGATAGACAAGGTCGTGAGGCTCCGGGAGGTCCGCTTCCATTTCCAGCGTCGTCTTGTATACCTGCGTAGGACCGTCCCCGCCTTCGGTCTTCAAGCCTTCATTCTTGGCAGGGGTTTCAGTTGTCTTTTGTTGCCTGCCGCTCCGGAGGGAACGCACTATTGGTCGGACCTCCATGACATCTCCGTCGCTAGCAGGGTTGTCTTTCTTAGAACCGCGCTGAGATCGTTCCTTAGAAACACACTGCTTGTCGCGGGCACGCCCAAGAGGGGACATGTCGGATCAAAAAGCAGGAGCGAAAGGTAATCTAAGCGATGGAAATGACAGAGTATGCGCCGACGTCTAACTTATGTTGGCCAAATGCCAGTACACTGGTGCGCAGTGTCGGCCTGGCCTCGGAAGTGATGTGATGGATCCGTCAGATTTGTGGCGGGAAAACCTAGAAGCATGACATCAGGCGCGAAACCATGGCATGCAGATCACGCGGGCATGCACGAAAGGTACCCTGTATGGTGTAGGCTGATTTGCGCATAACGGAGGTCAAGCTACTCGATTGCAAATTGTCGATACGTAAGAGAACGGATACCCGACAATAGCGTGATCCGATACTAGCATCCAACCGAATCATGTTGTGTAGTGATCCCATTTTGCGCATAGCTCGCGTTTGCAAAGTAAGCTCAAGCACACCAGTAACAGCGGTCGAATTTGACGGGTATCGTGTGAGGGCGAGCTCACCTCACACAAAAGTCCTCAACAAGTGAGGTATGTTCCTTTAGGGTTTGCGGGGGGTATCATGAGTGGCAACGTGTGCGGAGGATGCAAAAGAGCATTCCGCGACGACAACAGGGTGCAATCGCACTTGTCATCCAGCGATGCCTGCCGTGAGAAGATTTTAGGGCGGGGGAAAATCCTCCTAGCAGAGGCATACCTCGAGGCACGACAGGCATTTTTTCGCGATGCACCTAGTACTCCCGGACCGGGCACCACCAGTACGGGCGGCCAGAGTGAGAGGTCGTCAGAGAAGCGCAGTGCTCCTCCGACCGCCACTGAACTAGAGCACAGCGATGATGACGAGCACTCCACCTGTAGTGATCAGAGTTCTGACGGGGAGATTTTTGACACCCTGACTGCGATATATCTCTTCATCCGAGACGCCGACCTATCACGGCGCGAAGTGAACCGTCTTCTGTACATATTCAGAAACCCTAGATTCAACCTGCGTGCATTGCGGCGCTGGCGCAATTGGCTAGACGTGCGGAGATGGGGGGAAGCCAGGGCGCCTCCGGACATGGTCCCGTGGCTGTGCGAAGAGATCGTGGTCAGAGGGCCGAAGGGTCAAACTCAGAAGCTCCCGCTTCACTATAGGAACACGGAGGAGGTACGTACCCGCGCAGTTTCTTGCCAGCATTACGTGAGGTGTGTTCCCATTCAACTAGGCGTGCTGACGTATGCCGCCTTTCCAGCTTGTGAAGAAGATTGTGCGCATCTTTGGGGGAGTGAAGGGGTTCGTAACACAACCTCAGACTGATGTGGACCCGAAGACCAATGCGCGGATTTACAGCGACCCGGAGACGGCCAAATGGCTCGAAGAGGCTCAGGTACCGTAGTTGTTCTGTGCCTTGTTTTTGGCTCCCGTGCATCGGAATGCACTCAATCGCACGCGCGCATGTGTGGCAGAAGGAGGTGGACGACCCATCAGCATGGGTGCTCGGCATCATTGTCTACAGCGACGGCACGAACGCAACGCGCAACGGGCGCCGTCAGGCATGGCCCTTCCTCCTTACGCTGGTGAACGTACCGGAGGAGCTGCGAAAGACAGAACCAGGCCATGCTCTGGCTGGCGTGCTGCCTTTCCCTCCGGAGTGGGCTACCTCTACAGAGAAGGCCCGAGTGTTTCAGGAGGCGATTCGGATCATACTGGCGCCGCTCATGCTGGAATCCTCGACGTACGTACACAGCACCAACGCATGACCACCATACAGTGGTTTGATCTTTCCCTCTTTCAATGTTCCCGGTTGCAACTGACGGTTGTGATTTCCATCCCGGATTACATCCCTTGTCGCAGCGCTCCACTGAGAGTCTTTTACGTCACCGACGCCAAGGGAGAGCCGGTGAAGGCAGTGCCATGTTTTTTTGGTTACCCCGGGGACTTCATCGAACATTGCAGAGCTACGGCGACGCTGCAAACGGGGACGAAGCGGCCCTGCTGCAACTGCTACGTCCCGGAAGAGCTTCTTCGATACCTCGAGCATGTGGCCACACCTCGGACAGTGGAGTCGGAGATGCACGTGCTACGCAACATGCTTGCGTGCAAGACCTTGACAGCTGCGGAGGAGATTCAGACCGAGTGGTCAACTCATCCCGTGGAGGTGCGTCCCTAGTGGGGTGGGGGCTGTCGTGTTGTCCTACACATGCTGTAATTCGCAACATGATCTGAGATTGTGTCTCCCCAAACGTGCAACAACCACCGGCAGTGCGTACTCTCGCGGTGGAACTTCTCGCACACGACGTGGGGAAACCCGTTTGGGGCTTGCGCGGCCGACATCATGCACGTGCTAGATTCGGGGATGGCATTGCACATGCTGGAGAATCACATAGCGGTGCTAAGCAAGCCTGAGCGGCGTGATGTTGAGAGGTGAGTAGGCCCGGGTTGCCACGTACGTTAAGCACCTCGGGTCTTGTGCACGTGAGACCAGTATGATGGCAAACCCGTATATGTGCCTATGCGCGTTCCCACCGTTGCTTCAGGCGCAAGAAGACAACCAAGGGAGAGACCCCGAGTGTCATCTTGCGACTCCCTGGAGGCAGCTCCTACTTCATGAGCGGCGCGAACTATGCCGCCTTTGAACACCGCAGCATGATGCAGGTCATGCCCATCCTGGTGGCGGACAAGTCAGCCCTGCGTTCGGGAAAGGAAGGCGAGTTGGCCGCACTGCGCGTGCGTGCCTTCCGGATGTACGCCACCTTCTACAAGGCATTTCTGGGGGTCAGCGCACACACGGAGGCCACGCTCGCAACCGCACGGGCCCACGCCATCAAGTATGTCGGATGGGAGTTGACGGGGTGGGGGGTGTGGAAGGCAAAGGAAACACGCTTAGCTCTTCGGGAGGGTTGTAGTTTCTGGCCATTGCAACACCGACTGAAGCGTGTGGTCATGCGATGCACTGCACCACAGGTTGGTGGAGATCCTGCCACAGGCATACCCGGACCACGCATCGCATTGGCGCTTTCCCAAGATCCACCTGATTGTCCACTTGCTGGACAATGTGATCTGGCGCGGCATGCCGCACCACTACAGCACGGAGATGTGGGAGCATACCCACAAGGGGATGGTCAAGAACCCCATCAGGGGCGGCAACTGGAAGGACATCCCCAGACGCATCGTGGAGGAGGAGGTGCAGAGGGAGATCTGCAGGGAGGTGGCACAGGACGCGGGTGGTGGGCGACAGTATGCGACAGCGCTGCGCGAGGTGAGCCTATTTGGTGCAGATCCCATTGTAGGCCGTCCGAAGGTGACCCTTTGCCTTATCGCGCAGCCTTGGTTTTTGACAATGTCGCCTTACTCCCATGCACAACCACACCCGCAGGGCGTGGAAACGATGAAACCCGTGCTCACGAGGAAGGGTCGCACAATGCGGCCGGCGGAGGAGGGCGACGCTGTGATGGGAACCTACCGCACGGCACTGGGCCACCTCATGGATGCGCTGCCGGGGAGCATGGTGGCTGCATCCATCACGGCATCCGCGGTCGTGGTGAGTACGCGTCCTGTTGTTGTATCCTTCACTTCAGGTTGCAATACAGGAAGTGCTTATGCCCCTATACATGTCCTTTGTCTGCACACAGAAGAACGACATTCACCTCCCTCTGACCCCCTTCATGCAGGCCCATACCGCGGTGGCGATTCCACGCACCAAAGGAGGAGCTCTGGTCTCCAAAGGCGCGTTCGTCAAGGCAAGCCCCAAAGAGAAGTGGTTCACGGACTTTGCAGTGAAGTCTCCCAAGAAGGAGGAGTGGTATGCCAAGGCGCTCTGCATCTTCAAGGCTGAGACCGCAGAGGGCGACCGGAAGGGGTTTGTGTACGTGCGGTGGTATGAGAGGGGAGGCATTTGCCCTCTCACCACCTGCGTGCAGCTGACCCCGTCGCGCAAGGATACAAGGCACGCAGTGATTGCTGTGGAGAGCATTGAGCGCGTTGTGCACATTTGTCGCTCGTTCAGCAACCCCGCGGTGTTGCTGCTGAACAAGTTCTTGCTGTGTGAGTGATTCACTGGTCGTGGAGTATGCGTCGGACGCCAGGATGGGAAGGGTGTGCTTATGTGTGTGCTGTCTGACCGGTCGACACAAACCTGTGACTGACATTCAAGTAGTATGAGTAGGCCTTAATCACGTGCCCCGCACGCTGTGTGCAATTAGTCACACCAATGCGCCAGTACGGTAGTTAGTCGAGGAGTCTGAACATAGGTGGAGTTGGTTTCTGTAGTTGTTAAATGGACAACCTAGTTACACACATTTGGTGTATCCGATCCTCCCGTGAGTGGACATGGGGTATGCTGTGCCGCGTATGCCGCCAGCATACAGTATCGCACTGTACAGAACTGCAACACTTTTGCGCGTTCGGGTTTCAGTGTACCGGGGCGCAGGTGTCTGCCACGACGGACATGCGGTGGGGGTTGGAGACTCGGTTGGGAAGTGGTCGATATCCGAATGCCGGTTAGCGATTGGTGCGCAGTTCTGAGTAATTGGTGGATACAGTTGGGTGGTGTTTCTGGAGCAATCGCTTTCAGGGTACGGGAGCCGGATTGAATCGCTGCAGCCTAGTTTTTTTTTTTTCACCCTGCCATACCAGACCAGAATATATTCAACACCCTGCCATTTCTAGGGTACGACGCGGCAGCCACACTGCAGTGGCAGTGTGACGTCGACCTGGAACTTTGATTTGACAGGGTGGCCCAAAATGAATCAAGACCCGTGCGAGCGACCCACTCTAGCCCAGAACAAATCGGAGCAAATTATAATCTCAACTACACAGTTCGTTTTTTGCCCCAAGGGCTTGTATTAATACCTTTTCATTTCGTTACGTGGCTTATGAAAGGTGGAATTTTAACCTGTTTCGAACAAAAGAGGGGGTAAAAGGAGACGGATGTTTTGTCCATCAGTAACTCATCCATAAAACTGGGAGGCATGCATAACAATACCATACCGTATTCTCCCAGACAAAACACCCTCCCAATGATAGAGCACCCCCGGGTAGCTTGTGCGGGGTGGGTGCTATGGGCGACCTCGTTTCTACTATACTGTTAGAATCGAAAGTGTTGTGTCATTGATGCAGGTTGGGGTACATATAACAAACCCTAACTTTTGTACCCCCTAAGACAAACCTCACTACAGGCTACAACATTTGACACACCCCCATAGCCTAAGTGAGGGGTGTTAGAAACTACAGGCAGGAGTGAGAAACAGGAAAGAGGGTTTTCACTAGCAGGCAGTTGAGTACATATAGCAAACCCTAATTTGGGCTATACTCGCTATAGAGTACCTCACTGCAGGCTAGACAAACATCACATTCTGACACACCCCCATAGTCAAAGTGGGGTATAATCAGCACAACAAGCAGGCAGAGCAATAGTTCACAATGATAAGCAAAGCTAGAGGCTATCACAGAGGGCAAGTGAGGAGGAGGAGAAACTGTGGGGGCGAGAAGATGGGAGGCGACGGCTGAAGCTGCAGACACACGGGCAACAGGAGTGCGCAGCACTGTCGCTACCAGGCGCAGAGCCCCGGACTACACGGCGACAGGCGCAGCTGGCTCGCTGTGCTCCCAGGAGTGCGCAGCACTGTCGCTACCAGGCGCAGAGCCCCGGACTACACGGCGACAGGCGCAGCTGGCTCTCTGGACTACAGGCGCTGCGGACGACAAGACGGCTGCCTCCACTCAACCTCCCCCAGCTGTCCCACACCCCTTTCACACACCCCCTGCTGTACCTCTAGCACTGCTCACACGCCACCCCCCTCGTACCACTCCGACGGCTCCAACACATCCACCCCCCTCAGCGGCAGCTGCAGCAGTGGGAGACGGAGGAGGAGGAGGAGCAGGGGACGGCACACACCCGTCACCCCCATACTCGCCACCCCCACACTCGCCACCCCCAAACCCTAACACAGGCAGGAGCGCGGGCAGCAGCGGGGGCGGTGCGCGGGCAGCAGTTCGGGGGACAGCGCGCGGCTCCCCAGGGCGCCGCGACGGGGCAGCGGGGGGCCGCGCGCGGCTCCCTAGGGCGCCGCGATGGGGCAGCGGGAGGCCGCGCGTGGCTCCCCAGGGCGTCGCGACGGTCGACGGGGGGGAAAGCGCGGGTCCCCGGGGGCGACGCGACGGTCGACGGGAGGGAAAGCGCGGGTCCCCGGCGGCGACGCAACGGTCGATGGGGGGGAACGCTCGGGTCCCCGGGGGCGACGCGACGGTTTACGGGGGGGAACGCGCGGGTCCCCGGGGTGACGCACGAGCCAGGAAACCACCGCGCGCCACGGGGCGCACGGCGGGCAGAAAACCGCCGCGCGCCCCGAGCGCGCGGCGGGCAGAAAAAGCCGCCATGCGCACGAGCGCAGTAGAGAAGTCGAGGGAGTGTAACTCGTAGTCTCTCTGTGCTGCTACGTGCAGTAACACCCGAAGAGTGGTCATCTTCGGGGTAGGCGCGAAGGTCTGAAAGAAGTCAACTCCCTCGCGCTGACTGAAACCTCTAGCCACGTAGCGCGCCTTGAAGACCGGAGGAGATCCTGGTGGCCGCTTCACCCTGTAGATCAACCTACATGCCATCGACTACGTTTGCCCCAGGGGGGGGAACCTCGTCGATGTAGGTGCCTGTGGATCTGTAGGAGGCCATCTCTGCGTCCATGGCAGCTCTCCACTGAGAGGCCCAAGGCCCTAACACTGCCTCAGCGTAAGTGCGAGGAGTCGGTATGTCAAGGGCGTCGGGGTCTCCCTCAGGGGAGAGGAGCATGGCACAGAGATGAGGCGAAGCGGCTGCTAGGAACTCTAGCTCAAACTGCCTGTCCTCTAGGGCGTCACAGAGGACTGGTAGGAGGAGCAGCCACAAGACTGGTGGCGTAGTCAAGGCGGCGAGTAGAGGCAAACTCAGTGACTGCGGCAGTAAGAGCGGAGACAGAGGACAGAGAGGCACGAGGGTGGGTAACAAGAGAGGCGAGAACACGAGACAGAACATGACGGTACGTGCGGTAGTAGTCAGTGACAGGAGTAGAGAGGGAAGCAGTGAGGGCCGACTCAGGGGGAGAAGGAAGCACAGACGGAGAGGAATGAGGCGGACTAGGACGGAACAGGGCAGTACGAAGGTCAGTGAGAGCGACAGGGGACGAGGGACGAGCACGAGGAGAGCGACGAGAGGGCCAAGTCTGAGAAGGAGGTGGAGACAACTGAGGGGGAGAACGAGGGAAAACAGCCGGGGAGGAGTCAGGAGGAGGAAACGTGGGACCGTAGACAGGAGGAGAGGGGGAGGAGGAAGGAGAGCGAGAGGGGAGACCGAGGGTCCGAAGACCAGAGACAGGAGGAGGAGGCGACTGCTGCTGCTGCTCCAGCTGCGGCGGCTGCTGCTGCTCCTGCTGCAACAGCTGCTGCTGCTCCTGCTGCTGCTCCTCGAGCCGCTGCAACTCGTGCTCCTCTCTCTCCAACTCCAGCCGCTCCTCACGGGCACAGCGAACACGAGCCTGGTGCCAGGTCGGGTAGGGGTGGTGAGCAGGAGTAGTGTCCGGGGCCGCAGCAGTCTCAGGACCGCCCTCCAGAGCACCAGGCGCACCACCCTCAGAGTCAGCACCAGGAACAGCAACACGGCCAGGCTCACCAGAACCCGCACCCGCACCCCCAGACGCAGCACCCCCAGATGTAGCACCAGCTCCCGGAAGAGTAGAGTCGTCCGCAGCCACGGGCTCAACCTCAACCTTAGCACCCCCAGAACCAGGACTCAGGTACGCTCTCTGCTCCCACTCCAACCCCTCTAGAGCTAGCTGTCAAACATTATATCTGTTGTTGTTGTTTAGGCTACAGTGGGTTAGCCTTTAGGGGGTACACAAATTCTAGGGTTGCATATTTGTACTCACATTCTTGCTAGTCATTCTCATTCCTGCCAGTTAGTTTCAACATGGTTTCAGAGCAGGTCCTTCGCTAGGACCGTTTTTTTTAGGGCCCACCTACCTACCTACCTACCTACCTACCTACTACTGTTACTGCTACTGCTGCTACTGCTACTATGGCTAGTCCTCCCGTGCTAGCTTTCGATACTGAGGGACGTCCAGTGAAATTTGACACCTGGCTAGATGACCTGCACCTTTTCCTACAGCTCACTGCCAAGGAAGACATCTCACTGTACGATCACGCCCTAGGCCATGCCCCTGCGCCTGCTGCTACTGCCGACAGCTCTACCCGCTCACAGTGGCAGACTCGTGACGCCCACGCTCGCTTTGCTATTCGCAACTCCCTGCCGCTAGAAGAGCGCGAGCACTTTGGCCAGCACAAGACTGCACAGGACCTGTACAAAGCTGTCGTTGCCCGCTACTCCTCGCCTGCCTCTGCCGCTCTAGGCCGTCTCTCGCTTCCCTACCTGTTCCCCGACCTGTCCTCTTTCCACACAGTCGCTGACCTCATCACCCACCTCCGTACTAGTGAGGCCCGCTTCCGTGCTGCCATGCCCGCCGAGTTCCTTGCCAAGAACCCTCCCCCGCTCTGGCTCACTCTCTACCACCTAGTCACCCGCCTCCCTGACTCTCTGCGTGCAGTCAGGGACCACTTCCTTCCTAGCTCGCTGCCCTACTGAGCTCACCATTGCCCTCCTCGAGAAGGAACTACTTGCAGCTGAGGCTAGCATAGTCGCTGTAGGTGCCTCTCGTGGCGACCCCCGCACCCCGTTCTTTGAGGGGTGTTCCCCTTCCCCCCTTCTTCCCTCTGTCGCCTCTGCTGCTGCTGTCGACCTCCTTGGTGCTGAGAAGGTTGGGACTGCGTCTGCTTCGAGCGGACGCCGCAGCGGCAAGGGCAAAGGGGGCAAGGGAGGCGGAGGTCACAGTGGGGGAGGAGGTGGTGGGGGCGGTGGCGGCGGTGGGGGTGGTGGCGGGGCTGGAGGGGTGAGTGGTGGCGGTGGGGGGGGTGGCGGCAGCGGCGGGGGAGGTGGCAGAGGCGGGGGCGGTGGTGGGGGTGGCGGTGGACGTGGAGGCGGCGCGGGTTGGGGTGGTCGAGGAGGTGGGAGCGGAGGTGGTGGTCGTGG